GTTCTCCTTAATTATTTGTTCAAATAAGTTTTCCACCAGTGGCTGTTCCTTTCCCCCTTCTGATACCCCTATAATTCGTATGTTGGAGCGTTTAAATATGTCCTGGACGTTCCTAAGTCTTTTCTCATTTTTTTGAATTCTTGTTTCTTCATATTTTTCTGTTTGGCCATTATTTTCTTTCTTTTGGTTCACTCCCTTGATCTGAGTCCCAGTTTCCTTTTCATCACTATTGGTTTCCTGTGCAATCCCCTTCATTTCAAATAATTTAGCCTTCATATGTTCCTCTAATTTGTGACTAAAATCCACCAGTTCTGTGAGCATCCTGATCACCAGTGTTTTGAACTGTGCATCTGAGAGTTTTGCTATTTCTTCATTGCTTAGAGTTATTGGCTCTGGGGCTTTGAGCTGTTCTTCTTGAGCCATAATGTTTTGTTCTGTTCACACCTGTTAGGTAGGTATGAGGAGTGGAGCCTTAGGTGTTTACCAGGGCGGGGCTGCCCAGGGCGGGGCCGCCCAGGTCTCTGGGTTGTGACCCTGTATGTAGGGGCGGGGTCTGAGCGGGGAAATAGCGGCCCCCTCTGCTGCCTCTTGCAGGGGCAGCTCAGTCCCGTCGTCTCACTGCCCACTCCCTCGCTGGTCTATCTGCGCACAAATGCAGGACCACAGTCAACCCACCGCCCTGCACCATCTCTGGGTACGCCAGTCGCTCACTGGGTCACTCACTGGGTCCACCAGTTGCAACCCCACACCTGGGATCCACGCTCCTGAGTCTGTCTGACCCAGTTTTCCTGTGCAACCCTGCTCCACCAGCTGCTGGCTTCGCCCCTCTTACTGGTCAGGCTGAAGAATTTGTTGTTATCAGACTTCTGAAAAGTTCAATTTTCTGTGTTCTGGCTATGTTTTCTGTTGTTAATATTTTGTTGTCTCTAAACTTAGTTGTGGAAGAAAGCATGGTGTCTCCACCTATGCCTCCATCTTGGCAGAAGTCCCTCAGGTATTATTTAAATGAGTTGAACCTTCATGTTTTAAAGAATTATATACAAGTATTATGGTAATAATGACAAAAAAACACTATCCATGATTTTGAGAAATAATGAAGAGAACATTGCAAAAAACAAAAGGAAAAGGCTATACTCATTTTTACCTAAAGAGGAGAATATGGATTCTTGGGAGTCTAGGGGATGAATTTGAAGCAGGTTTCTCGATAAAATGGATTTTTTTCCCAATTATGAACAGAGATGGAGATAACCCTAGACATTTCACCATTCTAGGAATAAGAGTTGTTCTACTGGCTTCACTTTCTTATTCATTTATTCAAATTTCATCTTTTTATAGAGGAATTAAGACAACTATTTTTTCTTCTTAATAAGGCCACTCAACTGTTAGCTCAGGAAAATATCATAGAATAAAAATCAAACTTAACCTCAGCAACATACTAACAAAGTCTCTTGGATGGTGCATGTGTTGGACAGACATGGGCTGGATCGCCATACAATTAGGTAGACTGATAGGTAGTGTTGTGACCACATCCACAGGGTAAGTAATGGGGCAGCAACTCAGAAGACGGCCTCTAGCTGTGTGCTGGGCGACTCTGGTTGCAGCCCTGTTCAGGTCCTTCGTTGTAAGCAGTAACTTGGACACAGAAGACATGCAACTCCGCCCAGGCACACTATCAATTTATAGGCCTTCAAGAAGAGCCCACACATGTATAAGTGAATCAAGTTCATGGTTTATTAAGGAAGAAACAAAGAAATTTATGTTAAACGGGTGAATAAACAAGAGTAGGTGCCTGCATACCATGTTTCAGGTCGGTTTTTTGTTTTGTGTTTTTGCTCTCAGAACCCATTATGGATCTTGTGGTTGCCACTCACATTGTCTGTGCAAGATAGTGCACCACTATATTTGAAAGGCTAGATTTCACTGACCACCACATCCCTTTTAGTGCTGAGGGCTTACATCCTCAGTCAGGAAGAACTTACACAGATAGGAAACACTGACAGACCTCCAGGCCTCTTCCTGATTCTTAAATAAAAGACAGTGTCCATTAAGTGCACATCATGACTTCCCTTTTCACTGATCCTGGTAGTTTGCCAAACTACCGCCAGGACTGCAGTGAGAGGGAGGGGCCGAGGAGCCAGGGTTTCTGTTCTCCGAGGCTCACATCTTGGTGAAACTCAACATTTAATTGTGCTGCGTTGTAGTCTTTTTATACCTGGGACTTCAATCATTATTCTTAAAAATCTTACACAAATAATCTATGTGTCTAATATCTCCTTCTAAAGGATTATTTTTAAATATTGTGACACTCCTGACTGTTGAACCAAACTCGGCATTGATAAAATGACACCCTCGTCCAGAGAAAAAAGCAGATGTACCATTCAGGTATTTCTGCCAGTTGCTCTGCCTGGTTGTTGGCATCCCGGAGTGCTCATCTCCCACATGAGCCTCTCCGACTGACAGAGGACCCAAACCCTGGAAGCCCCTTGGAAACACCAGTGACAAAATCAAAATTTAAAAAATGATCAGAATGGTTAGAAGCATGAGCCAAAAATTAAAAGAAACTAACCAGATGAGTATGAAATCCTATCTTTAACCCTCAAATAAACATTAAAATAGAAAACAGAAAAAACTCTGACTTAACAAAGTACATATGATTTTTTAAAACTAGTTTCTCAGTGAACTACAAGCTTAATAAGAGTCCAAAGCATGGAACTGTGTTAGCAAGTGTCCTTATCAAAGCGGAAGTAGTTGCTTTCTATGTATTCTATACAGGTGGGGCATTGTCTGGGGCAGTCGGGTTAATCTCGAATATCTCGTTTCAAGGAGATATTACCCAGTCCTGGAACAGGATGACTAGAATGGTTAGGGTCTCAAATCCTTGCCTGATAATAATGAGAATGATAATAGCCATGTCTGTGCATCGAAGGCTTATTGTGCGCCGTGCTCAGTGGTAGACCTCATACTTGAAATGGCCGTGCGGTTGAACCTCTTTGACCTAAAACCTCAAGGAGAAGCTACCTTCCAGCTCAACTCTACACACAGTAACAGGGACTTCTGTACATGGTCTTCAGATGGTAATGAAGATGCTAATAATGATGATAGCAGCTTTCCAGTGTTTGGGAAATAAAGGATCAAGTGCCAGGGAGAAAAGATGACATGGCTCCAGAAGGGAAACTAGGTCTGTTGAAGTAACAAAGAGGCAAGTTGAAGCTCAAATATAAGAAAGACATTTCTATCACTCGCTCTTGCTCAGAGATGGCACAGGAAGCCTTTTAAGGAGACCCGTCTGCTTGCCGCCAGGTGCTCACGATGTCCCAGCTCCCAAGGTTACCAGCCAATAAAATTGATATTATCCCCATTTTACACATGATGAAATTAGACACCATATAAAAACTTGTCAAAGTTTACATTAGTCCATTTATTTTTCATTGCATTATAATCAACCTTATCATTGCAAATAATCCTACATGGCCATCGACTAAAAGGTCAACCTCTTGAGAACATGTTCAAGAGAATGCCTCCATTGGGTACAGTAAGTCCTTACCTTGTTGACCCTTCAAGTACTCGGTATCATTGAACCTGTTTGCCAAGTAATGAACTTTTACAAGAATTAATGTTAATTAATGGAGGAGTATTGCTAGTATTTTTAAATGAATCCAAAGAGATCAGTTTGAGTAGAGGGAATGCTAAACGCTCTCAGTGAGGACACTTGTTCATTTACCCTGAGTTCCATTAGAAGAGCACTCAATTGGCCTCCTAATATACTTACTTGCAGACCAGTTCGTTTACTTGCTACCTTAACTATTATATTCTAAGCATTTATGTAGCACTTTTACTTGTTAAGAGAAAGTTCAGTACATGTCAAAATATGTGGAGGTTTGGGGTGTTAGGGAAGGGTAGGGTTTCTGACTGTTCAAGTACAGTCAGAAAACTGTACTTGAACAACAATAACAAAATGTTTTAAAAAAAATACATGTCAAAACACAGCTAAGTGCCTTTATATTTGTTATGAACCATAAACATGGGCTTCAAGAGAGCCAAAAGTTTAGAAGCAGAGAACTGATGTTTCTTGAAAGTCTGATGTGTGCTAGACACAGTCTAAAGATTAGCCCGTTCAGAGGAAACTCAGGTTCTGTAACAAGCAGCCCACCTGCAGGGAAGAGGTTCTGTGGTAGAGTAGCGGGAACTATTGTTGGGTAGATCAATGGAAAGAGCCTGCAGAAGAGCTTGCACTCTGAGCAGAAGAACATTCAGACTTGGTGCTGTGAGCACTGTGAGCCATGCTGGATTCCCGAGTGGAGTAGGGGAAGTAGCTCAAAAATATGGGGAGCATGTTCTTCTTTGTTTAAAAGGAGATGGAAGCCACAGTGTAAGAGTAGTGGCTATTTTGATAAAGGAGCCTTCTCTGAGGTTGATGGGAAAGATTGCAGGTGAGATACTAGTAATAATAATGAATACCCACATTGCACTTACTGTGTGCCAGACGGTGCTTTGGGTGTAGTCGTTCATTCATCCTTCCACCCCTGTGATGTAAGTAGTAGCAGTTTCATCACTCCTGTCTTCCAAATGGGAAAACTAGGACTTCTAAAAGCTCTGGCCTTCTGGGCAGGCAGAAAAATTGCCCAACATCCATCATGTATTCACCTCACAGCCTTGTTCTAGTGACCAGTGAGTGAGTTAGGATGATCATCTGATAATGTTACAAGTCACAGCTTGAGAAGATTGCCTTCCGAAGTGGCAGACACCATGGGGCTGAGGTTGTGCTTCTTGACCATGAACATGGGTGACACTCTGATCTTCAGTGCTGATTGCATGTGCTCTCTTCCCCGAGAACCTGTGGGATCTGGGACAGACCCTTTCAAGTCTTAAAGTTATATTTATATTCTAATAAAAATGAGGTTAAGGTATGGGCTGTATTTATAGTTGTTTTATTTATAAATGTTATCTATTCCTGTCTATACACATGGCATACTAATACCATATGTACACATTTCCCCCAGGGGCTCAAGATCTGGATCGTATCCGACTCTCCACCTACAGAACAGCATGCAAGCTTCGGTTCGTTCAGAAGAAATGCAACCGTAAGTAAGCCAGTTGTTTGGGCTCATCACCCTCATGTAGCCTGTAAGTTTACACTTGTTACTTTGTCTATTGAAACTAGGTTTTCTTGAAAGGATTGACAAAAATATGTTTACACAACATGGAAAAGTATATTATGATCTACAAATGGCAGCAAGACTATTCCTAGTAATTCTGAAGGCTTAATTACTCCAGGCTGGTAAAGTAAAGTGTTCCAGCCTGCCATTGGAATGGTTTAAAGCCGGATGGATGTTTTCCTTCTTTTCTCTAGCCTTGGCATAGTAAATGCGGTGCCATCAAAATGGTCTCCAAGAACTTTATAAAATATCAAACTTTAAGTCCTCCTTATATTTGTGCTTCCTTTACAAGTATAGGAAAATGTTTTTAAGCTCCTAGAAAACAATCAAATTTCTTTCTGAAACTAAAAAATTAATCCTTGGTATCAAAATATTAACTACGTGTGTTTACATCATACAATAGCAAGAGACAAAAATACTTAAAGAAACAAAGGAACTTGCTTCAGCTTTTTCCCAAATTTTAAAATGTAAGCAACAAGTTAGATCACTAATCACCGTGGGCAGATTCACACTCCCTGCTGGGTCAGCACTCCCGCCATCTTCCTGCATTCATTATCTCCTGGAAAAAAATGTTACTTTGTTTTAAAAGCAGATTGCTCTAAAAAAATTAAAACTCTTCTCATTTTTTAATTAGTATTGGATGCATTAAAAAATGAAAACCATAATGTTTTTCTGAGTACATACACATAACTCTTGATTGACTCCCATGAGAATTAGCCACTGGGTAAACATGAAAACCCACCAGAGTCTCCAGCAGATGTTTCTTGGAGCACAAGCAGGCTACCCCCCCCCCCCATGCTTTTAGGCACGTAGCTGATCATGACTCTGGGTGTGGGCAGGGTGCACCTGTTCCTCACACCACTCATCTCATCTGCAGCTATGCTCCGGCCCCAGAAGGATAGGGCTGAAGTCCGGGGCAGGAGAAGAATGGAGAAAAAGCATAGGTTGGTCCAACATCAAAGATATGTTTTGACTCCTCACAGAAAGTGAAACCAGTGCCCCCTCCCCCACAAAAAAAGCAGTGAGAAAATCACTCCGGATGTGGGAAGGAATCTGTGGTTGTACTCGCAGTCTGGGTATTTGCAGGTTTGATGTTAAAGGGCAAGGAAAATGCTCCTGCAGAAGCAAAGCTCTCCCTCCCCCGCAACCTCATCACCCATATTCAGACAAAAAAAAAAGAATCTCCATGTTTTCAGCAATGAAAAAGTGATGGGATTCTCTCCTTTAAAAAAAAAGAAAAACTCATTACAATGGCCCTCAAAATAGAGGAGAAGAAGCAAGGATAAGAGTCCAGTCTCCTCAAAGCATTGCCAGGCAGAGCCTTCCTTAGGCTACTTTCAGTAGAAATAGGGAGTTTCAAAATTTCAAAATATCATTACAAAATGGTAAGGATGGATAGAGAGAGAGAGAGAGAGAGATGATAGATAGATGGGGGGGAGGGGAGGAAAAAAGACTCCTTGTGACTTTGTCAGCCCTGCACCAGCACTACAGAGGGCACACTCGGTTGGCCCCCACTGGGCTCAGCAGCCCACAGGCCATATTCCATTCCTCCTGTTCTCTGATAAAGGCCCTTTCTCTTTCTTGGATGTGGGGGCGACTACTTTTGTGAGGTCCCCCCAGTGCCACGGACACACGTGAATGAGTAAATATGGCCGAGACAAGATGAGATTTGTTTGGGAATGGGGGAGTGGGCTGTTTCTCTGGGGAGAAAAAGGCCTCGAGCACCCTCCTCCAGGGCCTTTTATTGGGTTGTAATACACAGGAATACAGGGTGGCAAGGATCAAACAGTAGATAACATTACAAAGAGATCTGAGGGCTTCAGAGTCAGTGTCTGTCAGGAAGAGAGTTGCAGAAACTTTGGGAGACATACTCATTTCCTCTCAGACCCTTATCATATGAATGAAAGCACTCTTAGCAGAGCAGATTTCACAGGTTTATCAGCAAGTCTTTGTTATGCCAGATTTTTCCCCAGGGCACACTCTGGCCAGGCAAGGAGCTGCACCTCTCCCCATCAGGTATTCAGGCTTAAGGGGATTAGAGCCAGGAAGGGCTTCTCTCAGAGAACACGGGGACTCAGGCTTTGACAAAGCTGGGGGGCGAGACTCCATTGCTCTTTGTTGCAGCCCCCCCAGTCCTTCCATGAAAGCCTCCCAGGTGATTGAGTCTGGCTTAGGTTGCCCCCCGCCATGAGGGGTCTTACCTGTCATTGACTTCCGACCAAGCTCTGGGGGCAGGGAGAGGAACTGAGGCGGTGTTTGCTACCAGAGACAAGCTTTATCTCCTGTGGCTGGCATTCCAAAGGTCGTCTCTCGCCCTTAGCCACAAGGGGTAGAGATACAATTCCTAAAATCAGGCAGTGCGGTCTACTGCACTTGGATATCTCTTTTTTCCTCTTCCTATTCTTTTCTGGCCCTCATCCTTACCCTACATCCAGAATCATGGCATAGTCACACTGGCCTTCTTGGAAAACAGTAGGGAAAACACCGTCTTGAAAAATAGTGATATCCCATCCCTGAATAAAAAAAGAAACTTCACACCTGTCCAGCAGCCATCAGTGTATCCATTCATTTACCTCTGAATTTAGTAAACTTATAATGAAAACCTACACCATGTTTGGCACTGTGCTAGGTACCAGGGACAGAGCGATGGTAGATAACGGGCAATCCCTACCATGAAGTTGTCCGGAGTCTGTGTGGGTAGACGGGCTCTTAAACAGACTTATAAAAAACAGTGTGGAGGTGTAATGACAGGAATGTGGACGTGGCGTTGTGGGAGCACGGAGGAGGCAGCGCCCTGACCTTGGGGTGGGGGTGGCTGAGAGGCCTTTCCTGCACAGGGGGGTAACCAGGCTGAGGCTTAAAGAGTCAGTACACAGTAAGCACAGAAGTATTATTTGCTTTACTGTGTATTTTACAAATTTTGCACATTTTAGGATGAGAAAAGATATATTCTATACAAACTAGACAACACTGAGGCTGCAGAAAGAAATGTCAGCATATCTTTGAATACTCTGCTGAAATTAAGCTTCTTTTCCAAATTGTTTCTACGTTGATCAGAAGTGTGAAATGCAAGGACTATATGTGTTTGCTGAGTTTTCCTTCCTGACGAGAAATATAACAGTTGTGATGCTGAAGTGCTTACTCAGTGCTAACACAGTTCAGCCGGGCTTATTTTAACTGAAGTTAGAGCCTTTCTTCTAGGAAGGGAACCAGGAGTGCTGTGTTCATGTGCCATAATATTTGCCAATATTAAACACCCCCATATTACAAGAAGATAACTTCTGTCTGCAATAAAACCTAACCCAAAATAAATCGCGGTACCTTATAATGGAGTTTCACCCTGCAGCTAAAGAAATAAGAATGAATCCATATCATGTACTCCTAACTGCATTTCTGTATTGGAAACTCTTATGTAGTGCTACTTCATAGAAATGGATAGACCTTAACTGAAAATGGGTTGTTTATTTTTAGGCCCAGACATTATTAACAGGTAAAATTTATTTTATGTATTACCAGAACTAAACTTAAAAACTATATAATGGAAGAAAAAACATAAAAACTGACACTTGTAAAGTCATCATCTTGAAAAAATGTTGTCTGGATATAGCATGGAGAGTATAGATTTTTAGGAGATTACTTTCTTATCTAAATTTAAAGATGAGAAATGTTACTTAATTCCCCATATTTCCTGCCCCACAGCCCTTGCTTGCTCTGTTTATGGTTTCCCATCTAGAGCATTGGTCCCTCTCCCCGACGTCCATGTTCATTGCCTCTAATGCAATTCCTCATGGAGGCTGAGATATATTCCCAGTGTTCTAAAAGTCTTTCTGTCTGAGGCCAGAACACTGTGGCCCACAGACTGGGTGGGCCCAGCACCAATTTCCGTGTAGACTGAACTAAGAATAGTTTGTACAGATGAAGATTTGTAACCTATTTGAAAATAGGGAAAGGGAACACTAAGTTGTAACCCCAAATTAAGCAAAATTTTTCTCTCAAAAAAAAATCCAGTCTGTGCATGGAATAGTCCAGCATTCTAAAAATTGTACTCACTTATTGTATTTTTAATGTTATCATCAGAATGCTGTAGAAATTTATTTCCTCTCTTGTATGCAGGGTGGTGAAAATAGATTTATAGTTGAGTATATGAAACACAAGAGTTTATTCTTGTATTAGTACTTATTATTATATTACTTTTCATACAAACAGCTGTAAACCTGCTTTTGCCCACCCTGTATATGCCAATGGAATATTAATCCGTTATAAGGTGATGCCCCTATGTCCACAAAAAACATTGACCAATCTCTGCAATAAGAGGAGAGTGACAAGAAGCCCATCTTTTTTTTTAAGACCAAAAAATTTCTTCAACTTTACTCAAAGGATTTGTTTTCCAGATCAGCTTCTTTCCCTCACCATTCATCTCCATGCCTGGCATACACTCCCTCTCTGTACCCTACCAGCATGTTCTCCAGTAAAATAAAGGGGCAAATCTCTCTACAAATTAGGGAACAAATTGGCTATTTTACTCTCTGTGAGAAATGGTACAGAATAAAGAATACAGATCTATCCCTAGTTCTTCTTTCTAAGCAATAGCCTTCTCTTTAGCTTCCAGATTTCCTAGTGACTTCCCACAAAAATAAATAATTGATGTACACTCTATAAGCATGTGAGCAAATGGTAACATTTTGGCCTTTATCTTAAATAACTTTTCTGCTGCAACATTATTTTCTCGGTCCGCATGGACATAGTTAATGATCCAGATACCCTGCAAGGTCAGCAGTTATTCCTTCCAAAATTGCTTGGAAGTCAATGGGACACAGCCGTAAGTTCACAGACAACAAAAAGCAATAAGAGAAATAAATCAAAAACCTACTCCCTCCTGTTTAACGGTGGAGCAAAAGCAAGAAGGCAACGCCCACAACCGACTC